AAAACACGGAGGTCCTCCCCGTGTGTCAATAGTAAAACGCGAGGGTCGAACCCACGTTACAACATCAAAACGCTGGAGTCGGACCCGTGTTACAACATCAAAACGCTAGAGTCGGACCCGCGTTACAACATCAAAACGCTGGGATCGGACCCGCGTTACAACATCAAAACACTGGGGTCGGACCCGCGTTACAACATCAAAACACTGGGGTCGGACCCGTGTTACAACATCAAAACGCTGGAGTCGGACCCGCGTTACAACATCAAAACGCTGGAGTCGGACCCGTGTTACAACATTAAAACGCTAGGGTTAGACCCGCATTTTTCAATGCCCAGCGGGTACCCAACTCCGCGTCTCCAGTCTAAAATAAAGAGTTAGGATCCTGAACGCCAACGTGGGCGTTTGACTCGTTCAAACATGAGCTGAACGGTTCCAAAACCGGTTCCCATGATTTGGGGGCGGTTACACCCCACTTAGGAGTGATTTAAGGGGCGGTTGCACCCCATTAATCCCCTATAAAATCTCAACAAACTCAACTGAGTTGGGGGCTGGCTTTTTTGGGTACGAAGAAGCAGCAGAGAGGATTCTTCAGAATCTCAACCACACAGAGAGTCAGGAGAGGCGAATTCCTTGGAGATAGGGATTCTTCAGAATCTCAACCACACAGAGAGTCAGGAGAGGCGAATTCCTTGGAGATAGAAGATTTGAATCAAACTCAGAAGATCAAATCTAAGAGGATTGTCAGGAGAGGCGAATTCCTTGGAGATAGAAGATTTGAATCAAACTCAGAAGATCAAATCTAAGAGGATTCTTCAACAACAGAATATCTGCTTGATCATTAACCGAATTTTCGGTTTTAACAACTCTATTAACAGAGTTCTAACTCGTTCAGAGTTCTTAAACTCGTGGAAGAGTTACTTACAAAACTTTCCACAGAAGTTCATTGTTCCCACGAGATAAAAGACGGTCGGATCGTCAATGGAGAGCAAATTCGACGCAAGCAATTGAAGGAGGCATTACATCGCTACCGAGAAGAACCCAGTTTTAAACAAAGGAGAGAATCAAATTCGTTCTCTTCTCTTTTGTAATCAAGTTGTAACCGGAATCAAAGAAATACAAGTCAATTTTTTTTTGTTCTTTTCATTGCAATTTTTCCAACATACATTGACAGTATCATGTTTGGCTACACTGCAATACTAAAATAGGATAACAAATATTTGTCAAATATGTACGTATAGTTTTTTTTTCTAAAATACCTAAACATTATTAATGACTTCACACATGGTTTTTGAATATTCAAGCACTGCTCAAATTAAATCTGAATACAGATTTTCTATTCATTTCGATTTCAAATAGTCAAGCATGAACATAATGCAAATTACAAATAGTAAAGTATTTGGTTCGAATTCGGTTGGTTTTCATCCCTAACTACAACTCTCGCTAACAAAGTATCAGTTATATTAGTATAAATGATATAAAGGGAAACAATACAAATGGTTAAAAGGTCGGTGTAAATTTAAGGGTAAACTACACTAAACCCCGTGAACTTCCAGCATTTTGCAGTAAACCCCTCGCCCTATAAATTAGAAACAGCAAAAAACATAAAAAGCCATTTTGAAAGCTATTGGGGGTCTGGCACAACTTACCAAAATATATTAGGAGTTTTTTGCATAAGTTATTAGAGGTTTAGTGTGATTTTGAAAGTTCATAGATGGTTTAGGATGATATTGTGCATCGAATCAAATCGGGATGGTGGAAATGAATGAGTGCTTCAGGAGTCTTATGTGATCGTAGAATACCAATGAAACTAATGAGAAAATTTTATAGGACAGTTATAAGACCAACTATGCTTTATGGATTAGAATGTTGGGCAATTAAAAAACATGTTCAAAAAATGAGTGTAGCAGAAATGAGATTCTTGTGATGATCTTGTGGGTCTACATTAAAAGATATGCTAAGAAATGAATGTATCCGTAGTAAATTAGAGGTTGAGCCTATTGAGGATAAAATGAGAGAGAATAGATTAAGATGGTTTGATCACGTACAAAGGAGACCCCCTTAGTGCATCAATTAGGAAAAATGATAATATTAGAGTTAATGAGACTAGAAGATCTAGTGGTCGATCTAGAATGACTTGTTTATAAGCAATTAAGAATGATATGATTAAGACTAACGTAACGAAGAAAATGACCTGTAACATAATAGAATGGGAAAATATGATTCATGTAGCCGACCCCAAACATTTGAGATAAATGCTTGATTGTTGTTGTTGTTGTATAGATGATTTAGTGTAATTTACCCTAAATTTGACACCAAATCAGTACTAAATAGCACTATATCAGCGCAAACATTAATAGTGCTCTCTCTGAAGTCTGACCATATATACTGTGAATTTTGAATCATTTCCAATTTGCATCGCGAGGCATTTGAAAAAGTCTTGGTCGGATACAGATTCAAGTCTTTGTTCGCCTGTTGAATACGACTACTCTTACTATTATTAGGCCGCTCAAGTTCTACTTTTGCTCTCTGATATAATAGTTATTTTCTTTTCTAAATTGATAGATTTTTGACTAAAATATGCGATGCTAATTTGATGCCATAGGATTAAAGCATGAAATTAAAATTCTTATTAATTTGTGTCATAATCCTTATTTCTCTAGTTCTGAAAAATCATAATTTACACTATCTAGCACGTATATATATTTAACGTATAATACACACACATATATGTAGCGATTATAGCCCATGCAGATTATGGAATTATGGTTCTAAACTGGACACTACGAACAATTCTTTTTTCTTTCTTGTAGTTAGAGTCCGGTCATATGCGCTCTAAGTTTTGAATTGTATAATAAATAACTTAGCCAAATAGCACTTAAACACCTTATACACACATTTATTTTTTGCAGCATTTATGTACCCTAAGTTGTTTAAGATTAACACTTTACTACCCTCAATTTTGTAGGCATGAAGATTTTCATCCGGACTTTCTCATATGACATTTAGGACTAATTAAAATGTAAGTGTCATATTAGAATGTTTAGATGAAAATTTTCACTTTTGGACAATAGAATATAGCAAATTGCTAGTTTTTAATAACCTAGGGTATGTAAATGCTGCGAAACCAATAATAATATATAAGTGCAAAACGAGCGCAACTACAATGTATTTAAACGTTATTTAACCAAACAATTTAGAAGCTTGTAACTGTCATAAAAGAAATTGATAATTAATTTTATTCTTATAATGTAGCGCTAAATTTCGGCTAAATAACCATATTGGTATTTTAATTCCACCTCATTTATCAAGAAGATATTTTAATTAGGCAAATATGCTTTAAGGCATTATAATTGATTCAACTTACCAACAAGGCCATTTTTCTCGTCGGCGACCAGTTTTCCGGCGAGAGCTCGTCACGTGCGTGGCACGTGATGACTTAAACTGTTATTTAGCTGCTGATGTAGCACGGATCTGTCCTATTTTTGGTGAATTAGGATTTTTAGAGGGTTAATTCCCGCCTTTAAACACTGCAACGTTAAAAAATCTGTGCCACGTCAGCAGCTAAAAAACAGTTTAAGTCATCACGTGCCACGCACGTGACGAGCTCTCGCCGGAAAACTGATCGCCGACGTGAAAAATGACCTTATTGGTAAGTTGAATCAATTAAAATATCTTAAATCAGGTTTACCTAATTAAAATACATTCTTGATAAATAGGATGGAATTAAAATACCAATATGAGTGTTTAACCTTTATGTGCAGTAAAAAGTAAAAAAAGAAAGTAACCGAGATTAAAAGGACAAGTACCGTTAAATGTCGTTAGGCCTGGCGACCTTTACCTCAACGACAAACCGCTCGTGAAAACTCCACGATAAAATCCACTGACAACCCCACTCCAGAAACTCATTTATTATTCTCAGACACGAGACATTTTATCTTAAACCCCTCAACAAATCAACAAACTGCTGACATCAACTCTCACGTGCAGCGGGCTGCGCACAAATCTGCAGGCGCTTTTCCACATAGGCACTCAAATCCTTGTATTATTTATAATTTTTTCTCTCCAAAATATATGTTCTACATAAATGATAAACTCTTAAATAGAAATATAGTATTTGGCATATACAATAATAATGAAAAACTAAAACACGCCAAATGTGATGAGCATGGACACGCAGTAAATAAATTTTTTAGTTGCTGTGGATAGTCCAATAGGAAACAAGTAGGAGAAAATAATTGGTTCACAACAATTTTCATCGCATACAAAAATTTAAAACTAGGAAGTTAGATTGCAAGTTACGATAATTTAGAATACTTTTAAGGATAGAGTGGTAGTATAGTAAATTTTTTTTGGCTGCATACATATACCCTAACGTTTCTAAAGGATGCACATTAATATCTTATCTTATGCGAGCTTGAGAATTTTGCTTTAAAATTTTCTATGCGACACTTGCAAGCTGATTTGAGAATATTTTAGTCCTTGATGATTGTTAAATTTGTTGTTTAATATACTATAATTCTACTTCAAACTTACTCTAATTATACTTCTAAATAAAATTAGATTCAATTTAAAATGAAATACAGCAAACATTAAGGGCCACAATGTTCTAAATTTACCTTGAAAACCCCATAACAAAATTCTCACATTTGCATAGCATGAAGAATGGAGCGTAATTTTAAAAACTTTAGGTTATTTAAGTGCTATCAAAAACATGTGAGGATATATAAGGGCAAGGTTGGGGAAACTACAAAGATATTTTGAAGTTCTAATTAGCCCGGAAAAAAAAAACTAGTTAACGAATGTTTTAGCATGAAGTATTGTAAATTTTTTTAAAGTCAAATTACCATTGTTTCTAACCGTTGCAAGTTTCAACATGAAGTTCTAGCATTTGTCATTTTGCAATAAGAAATATTCGAGGGGGGCCATGCAAAACTCCCTTTTTAAAAATTCTCCCTCGATATTTCTTATATTTCCTATCCCTCTCACAACAGTTTGCAAACGGTTGAGCTCCCACCTCCTCCCTCTCTGCAGGCGAACTTTTCCTCTATTTGTACTCTCAACCCCTTCATGAACCCAAAATTTTCACTAAACCCCCCAAACAATGAAGTGCTTCCATTTTCCCGGCAACGGCGGCGATATCGGGTCCAAGCGGGTCTCCTGGGCCCGATCTCTCAGCGTCGCCTCCCACTTATCGGATCCAAGAAAATCGGGTTTGGATCCGGACCCGGATCCAAGAGACGCTGAATTGATCAACGAAGCTAAATCTCTGCCGACAATGAGCTTGAAATCTTTTGAGTTCAGCGAGCTGAAGGCGGCAACCAAAGGTTTCAATCGAGCGCTGCTGATTGGTGAGGGTGGATTTGGGTGCGTTTATAAAGGTGTGATTGGTTTAGAGAACGGGGAGAGCTTGGATGTTGCAGTTAAGCAGTTGAATCGAAATGGATCGCAGGTAAAGATTCAACCTTTTTGTTTGATTTTGGTTGCTTTTGTTTGTTTGTCTGGGAAAAAAACATGCAAATTTCAAATTTTGATGTGGGTATTCGTTGATTTTGATGTTGAGGTATGTGCTCCGATAAAAATCCCAACTTGGAAATGGATGCATAAAAAATAGAATGAAGGATCACAATTTGAGTGAATAAATGAGGTTTGAATTGAAAATGTAATGAGTTCGTTTGCTTTGTAACCTGTTGAGCTGAGATTTAGATGGGATTTTGTTTTTAAATATAGTTACTCGATTATTTTTATATGGATACTCCTTGTTTTTTTTTTGTTTTTTTTTGCCCATATTGAGTTTATATCTGCTGATAACAATCCAAACTTGAAATGCATGCATACAAACAGGAATAAGAACAAGACCAAATTACGAGAGATTTGAATTTTGAATTGAAAATGTGATCAATTGGTTAGGTAATAGATTTATTTATTTATTCTCTCCCTTTTGGAATTGTTTCAGGGGCACAGGGAATGGGTTACAGAGGTGAAATTTTTGGGTGTTGTCAAACATCCTAACCTTGTGAAATTGGTGGGATATTGTGCTGAAGATGATGAGAGAGGGATTCAGAGGCTATTGGTATATGAATTAATGCGCAACAAAAGCTTGGAAGATCACTTACTCGCTAGAGTTTCGTTGAATTTGTCATGGGAATTGAGGTTAAAAATTGCTAGAGATGCTGCATGTGGCTTAGCTTACCTTCATGAAGAAATGGATTTTCAGGTATTTTTTATTACATTTTACTTACAATTTTCATTTTTGGGCAAAGCGACTTGATATAATCGAATTTGACTTGTTAAACAGGGCGAACACTTATTTTCCCGATTTTGCGAGTTTTTTTTAATTCTTTCTACATGTCTTTTTGAAATTGACGTGTATGCAATATGTATAATTGACTGTCTCCATCCATAATCCTCCATGTATTGAGCTTTTTTAACTGTTCTCAACTTATTAAGCCTGGACAAGTTCTTTCATTTTTACCCAGATTGAGAAGTTCTGAATCAAAGCAAATAACTATTGATCATACAGCCTTTGTACTTTTCGCATGTTATTTATTTTGGTTGTAAGGTTTGGTGAGCTATATCATTGCACACAATTCCTTTCTTTTGTTTTCTTTTTCAAAGGCAAATACATGCTCTTCTTATTACTTGATTTTCTCCACAAATGCTAATGCCTATGTACAAGCAAACAAAAAGTAGAGCATTTAGTTCTAAAATGTTTATAATCAAAATATACTTCAATTAATGTAGATCAAAATTTTCACTTTAGGATTGGGAAAAACATTTAAGCCTTTGTAGTTTTATGCTTATGTGGCAATACATAATACCTTGACTTTTGCTTGTGCAGTTAATATTCCGAGATTTTAAGACATCTAATATTCTTTTGGATGAAGATTTCAATGCAAAGCTCTCAGACTTCGGGCTTGCCAGATATGGACCTGCTGAAGGAGTTGGTCACATTTCAACATCAGTAAGTTACAGCTGATGCCATCTTATTTACAATTTCAAACAGTATAAACATTTTAAATAAATTCCTTTTAGATATATTCAAAACTATGAAGGTACATGGAATATATTACTTTTGAAGTTCACATCTAGTATTAAATTATAGATTTTCTTGACTTTTTTATTGTCAACTAGTCAATTGTATGATACATGGAGCAAACCTGTCAAGTTACATGATCGAATAAAAATGATTTTAACACAATGAAGCCAATTGTACGATCAAGAACATATACTTATTTCATATTTAGGGAATTTGTATCTCGCGACAGGAGAGGTTTTTCTGTAATGGAGAGGGACTCTATTAAACATCTTTCATCTTTATTTGATTCCACAAGTTAAAACATACCAAATACAAAATTTTCAACTTTTATAAAGTATGTCTACATCTTCCAATTACACTCTGCCCATGCTTTTATTGGACAATGACGAGTTATTCCAAGTCAACATATAGCAAGATTACCAGACTTAGACAAACGTTATGTCTATTTTTCTTTATCGAAACATCATCACTTTTTCAAGTAATAAATTTCACAAAACTACCTTGAACTCGTGGAAATTATTGCTAGCGGCTTTACATCTTTGATAAAGTCTTAAACTGCCTTCATTAATATCTGCAAAGAGGGAAAGGGTGATATGGGAGAGGGAAAGGGTGACACAGAAAATATGTTAATTAGAAAAGGGAAAAATTGTTAACGTCGTGTGCAAAATAACCGCAAAGAGCGCTAACAATGTCCATGCTCTTCTGCTTCAGGTTGTGGGCACTGTAGGTTATGCAGCACCAGAGTACATTCAAACTGGAAAACTAACCACGAAGAGTGATGTTTGGAGCTTCGGCGTTGTCATCTATGAACTCATCACTGGAAGAAGACCCATTGACAGAAACCTACCGAAGAACGAACAAAAGCTCCTCGAATGGGTAAAACCGTATGCAACAGACCCCAAAAAACTCCACATTATCATAGATCCTCGGCTTGAGGGCCAATACTGCACAAAATCTGCAAGAAAACTAATTTCCCTAGCAAACAAATGCTTGATGAAGAATCCCAAGTCGCGTCCTAGGATGAGTTTGGTAGTAGAGATGTTGACTGAGATCATCGAGATGTCAAGGGAGAAGATTGCAGAGGCTATGAGTGTTGAGTCATCAGAAGTAGACGACATAGTTGAGGACTCTGAAGCTTTTAAAGAAAGTGGAAACGATTATAATGCAGTTTTCGATATTAAGGAAATGATGAGTTTGAGGAATAGGTCTGTAGGAAAATTGGATTGGAGAGTATTTACACCGGGGCTTGCAAGAACATGGAGATGAGCTTATGCAAAAGAGGAACTCAATGTTCATTAGATTGGACGACGATCTTGTGGCATATTTCTCTTGCTTTGATCCTCCTTTTATCGAAATTTTGTACATAGGGCGGTGAAAAATCTGCATCAGTATGATTTTCAACGTGGAATGAGTTAAATTATGGTTTCGATAGTTTGTCACTCTGTCTCTGTTTTGAGAGTGTATGGAGACACTTGCATGAGTAAATTGTTATATCGACCAAATCAATGTTTTGCAGAATAGGAACCGTATGTTTATCGCCAAAACAATCACCTCTCATGAGATTGTAACAAACGAGTACTATAGCAATTTAGCATGTTTTATGGTCTTATTACAAATTAATGTGAACATTCTAGCGATTTAGCTTTTGCTATGATCATCTTCATTTCTAGATGTCCTTAATGGGCCTCATCCTAGATCTGTCCATTAGCTTACATGGGCTCAAGATTAAATTTTGAGCCCGAGATGAACATGGCCTGTGTAGGCTGGTTAAAACACCAGCTCTTATCTTGGGCCAATGTTTCAGTCCGAATCAATAATAAACACCCATAGACTAAACAATTCAAATGGATTCTAGCATTAACATATAGTCGGCTACAACGAAGTTCGCTGCATCCGAGCAAAAGAGGACCCAATTCTGAGTCAATCCTCAAGCCGGACTCAGAGTTGAGTCAAAAGGCATCCTCAAGTCGACCGAGTCAATAAACGAGCTCAAGTCAGATTCTGAGTCATATCTAAACTTATCAGCGAAGTTCGCCAACTAAAACAAGTGAACTCCGCTACACAGCTCACATCTACCCAGCCCGACCGAGTTAAGAGTGGGTCGACTCCCGATTCAGACTTTAGGCCGAATCGAAAGGCATTATTAAGTTGGCCAAGTCGCAAGTCAAATTTTGTGCTGAATTCGTACTCACCAGCGAAATTCGTCAACCAATTAATCAGCGAAATTCGCCCACAGCTACCCACTTGGGCCAAGTCGTCCACAATTTAGAAGTGATGGTCCACCCATGCCCAAATAGTCCACATGGGATATATAACGAACTTTGCCAAAGTCATAGCGAAGTTCACTAAAGCCGAAGCTACAACAAAGTTCACTAAAGCCGAAGCTCGCTAAAGTTGTAGTGAAACTCACCCAGATAACAATAAGCTTTACCTACTAGCCCACGTGGGCCGTGTCACCCATTTTGACGAAGTGCACTCATGGTCATTATTGACGAATTTCGCCCATGGTCATTATAGGCGAACCTCACACATGGCCACTTGGGGTGAACCTCGCTCATAACCGTTTTCAGAAGCTACTTTTCAGAAAACGGTTAATGACTACTAACTTACATATTTAAATAGAGTTAATGACTATTAATTCACCCATTTAAGAGGAGTTAAGGCCTACTAACTCACATACTTAATGCTCTAAAGCAGTAAAGCCTATAAATAGCCATGAGACAAAGGGGGACGGGCGAATGAAGAGGTCTTGGGTCTAACATCATCTTGACTATAGAAAAGAGAAGAGAGAGCCAAGAAAATAGAACTAAAAACATCATCTTGGCTAAGAAACTTCGAATTGCAAAAAAAAATTTAATGAGAACCCATCGTCATGACCAGTATTGGTTTCAGCTTTGAAAGTGATAGAAATTAGAGAGAATGAGATGCATACAATTAATACATCTGTTATTGTTGTTGCTGAGAAGAAACTTCTTCAATTATGACATTATAACTGTATACCCCACAACGCGACTCATCAATAATTTGTAGAAATGGACTTGATGGGCCTGGACCTTTTTTCCCCTCCTTTTTCAAGTTTATAAGGTATATAATTAATCAATGGGGTTTTTCCCCAGTCCCCTAAATCTTCAATAATTGCATATTAGTCACTCACATCTTGAAAATTAAATACTAATCCCTTAAATCCTATACGGTCTTGCAAAATGACCCTTCAAGTTAAATCACGTTAGATTTGAGGAGAATCTTGTTGTGTGCAGCGGAAATTTCGGCAGCACTTCGGCAGCACAACAAGAGAGATTAGATCGATAGAATTCCCGTCTCTCAAAGGAAACAAGAATCTAAAGCGGATATCTCATCAAAGTGAGATATCGGCTCTTCCTCTCATCAGTTCTAGGACTGACCTGTCGAGGGATCCTACAAGCTATTACAAATCACGACAAGAACACAACTTTTACATAGTTCGGTAAATAGCCTACGTCCACGGGACAAGGAGGGGGAGATCTACTATTAGAGGGAGATATACAACTAGGGTTTACAATCTCACAAACTCTAAACCCTCTCAAACAAACTCTCAAATCCCTCTTACAAAATCTCTCTCAAAGGGGTACACAAATCAAAGAACAACAAAAAAAGACTTTGCTTTCAAAATTAGCCGCTGCCAAGTCCCTGTGTTGCTCTTCGTAGCCGCCAAAACAATCCCAGCCCCTTGCACACTTTTGCAGCCGCAAAAATCAAATCAGCCGCTGCCTTTTCTCTCTTGCACAGAGGCACGAAACCCTAGGTTAGGGTATTTATAAACATCTGTTGTGTTTTCGGGTGGACCTGAAAACAAACATCCAAATCCGCTGGTCTTGTGAGCTCTTCACGCGGAATCCAAGAGCTTAGCCTCACACACGGTTTCACAAGCACATGAGTGGGCCCCATGTCACAAATCTTTTATCAAATATAACAGTTGGACGCAAAGTGGCTGCTTTACAATTATATTATGTTCTCGACCCATTTCTAAAAGGGTTTTAACCCAATACCAGTTAAAAAAAACCCAAACCTATTGAATTCTTCTTCTCCAATGGTTAGAAAAGAATCTCAACTCAGAGCTTCACAAATGTTTGAAACATCAAAGAGAGGGGTAGTTTATTTGTTGCAAATGTTGAGTTAGGAGTTACCACAACCATGATTAGGTTTTTTAAACTAAAATACTAAGAGTGAGACCATTTTGCAAGACCTTATAGGATTTGAGGGACTAATATGCAAATTTCAATATGCAAAGGACTAATATTCAATTATTGAAGATTTAAGGAACTAATATCTAAAAATAAACTTAATTAATTCTCCAAGTATGTGGCTATTTGAACCCTCTAAGAGCTCTCAAGTACTGGTATGCAGCTAATATGTTACCCCAAGTTAAGCAGCAAAGGGCGAGATTAATATTTGGGCAATTAATTTGGTGGGTGTTTGAAGCTTTTGTCATGTAGATGAAGTTGCCAATGAAATCAAAAGAAAGGGCAAGTAGAAAGCTAAAACAGAACCTTGGAGATTAATCTTGATTTGGGGATAAATAATGCTAAACTCACTCTCTAAATCTAAGGTATATCATTCTTCAACATAGATATCTCTAATTTGATTCTCACGAATATAATGATGGAGGAAAATGCTACATGTCCAAAGCTTTAGCCTTAGAGCCTCATCATCCAAACATGTAGACAAAAGCATAATGCCACTAAGCTTTGTTAGGAAGTAATAACAAACACAAAACCCAACTGTCCCTATAATTAAAACGGCAAACTAACAAAATTCCCAAATAACATTTTTCACTCTTTAAGAGTAAGAAAACTAGCAAACAAAGCCATGAAGCTTCTTTAAACATCATCACGATTCAAAACAAACGCCAAGGCGTTGTTTGGCAAAGAGTTCAGATGAGAGAGTTAAGAAGAATCATTAAATTAGTTAATCCATCGTGATGGGTTGAAAATAATTAAAAGAGTTCAGATGAGAGAGTTAAGAAGAATGATTAAATTAGTTAATCCATCGTGATGGGTTGAAAATAATTAAATTCTGTTTGGATTCAATAGCTAAGATGAAAGGATTAACTTTTCTTTTTTCCTTTTGTTTGGCGATTAAAGAAGTGTTAACAAATTTTATCCTTTTAACCTTTTAAAATATCAATTTTAACCTTACCAAGTATAAAAAGTTCCTAATGATTGTTCAAAAGTTATGTTCCGACTCCGTCTTCAAAATGCACATATTTATTCGTAATTTGAAAAAGAGTTTTCCGCCAAAACTTTCAATGAGAATCATGTGAATTTGAAATGCAAATTGTACCAGCTATATTCATCCCCAAGTTAATATAAAACAATAGACAAATATTTGCTAATTAACAAGAATCAAAACGTAAGCAACTACAATGGGCACAGCAAGGTGGAAATTGATGTAAACCCTTCAAAAAGAAGGGTTGAGTGCTCTTAACCGCTTACAAGAGGTTAACAACCAAAATTAGTGTTCGGTAGGTTAGTGAAGGGTTAAACCAGGGTTAAACCCCTTTAACCCTTTAAATCCCCTCACTAATCTTTTGCCAAACACCACCCAAAAGATTATACTGCTATGAAAACATCATATATAATAGCAAAATTACACTCAGCATAAGACAACACTATCACTAAACACTCCAAAAAAAAAAAAAATCTTGCCTCCTTCACTTTCAAACACTAAGCAAAATACATGCCTCATTTCCTCAAAACTACCAATCTTAAATACTCCAGCAATTGTACTGAGGAAAGTCTGTGTCAGATACACAATCAGAAAGAACAAACAAGACATGAACTGTACACTAAACTCAAAGGCATATAAGCATAACAAATACAACACATACAGCTCTCCAAATTCTACTAAGCATACAAAGGCGATGCTGAGGGTCTTGGATATGACACTCTCCTATTACCAACTTCGCCCATACTTTTACGTCGACCCCCCTGACCGTTCACTTTCTGATGTACACGAGGGTTTCTAACAGTATCCTTCGTCTCTTGGAGCTGTTTGAGTGCATTTACAACTTCATCCATCGTCGGCCTGTACCTAGCTTCAGTGGATAAGCACTGAACAGCAACTTGAGCAGCTTTCTGAGCTCCACTGAGAGAGTATTGACCTTCAAGTCTAGTGTCCAAAACTCTGAAAATCTTGCGCTTGCTTAAGAGGTAAGGCCTCGCCCATTCGACCAAATTGTGTTCTCCATTTGGGCGGTTTTTGTCTACTGCTCGTCGACCTGATAGCAACTCCAGAAGGACGACGCCAAAGCTATATACGTCGCTTTTGGCAGTTAAGTGACCTACAATATTAGAACTATTCAGATGTATATTTGGTATAAGCTAGCAACTAACATATGGAGATAAAGATATGCAATTAACTTGCTAAAACCAGCTGAAAGTAAATGTTTATATTGGACTGTATAGAAAAGAGCTAAAGGAAATCTAACAAGGTTCATGTAAACATGGTTCATCATACATAATCTATTTCCTTGCTCTGTTTAGGTGATGGAAAATGAATAAGCTACATATCTTATTCTACTACCCGCTAGATATATCAACCACAATCCAAGAAGTTTGATGCGATTAGGGGTGGTAAACGATCGAATCGAATACTAAAGTGTTCACATTTGTATTTGTTTAAAATTATCTAATTCAAATGCGAACTCTAATATTCATATATATCTAGTTTTTCGAATTCGAACTCGAATACTTGGTATTTGATAAATATTCATGAATATTCACAAATACTTATTGAATATCAACGTATATTTATTCCGCTAAAAAAATTAATTTTCAAATAATATTAAAATTCATAAATAAAAAATTATTCCTTTATAATAAATGATGTGTATATATTTAAATCAAAATTTTAATTAGAAAACAAATTAATATTATTTAAGTCTTAAAATCAGTACATAAAACTTAAGTAGAAATGGTAAATAAATTAAAACTATGACATGATATGTGGAATAATACAAATACTAAGATGTGATCAAATTTTAAACGAACATTTAATAGACAAACGAATCGAATATACATCTGGTTAAATTCTATTCGTTAGTAAACTCGAATACTAAAAAATGTTTGTTTAGTGGTAAATGAACTACTAAATCGAATATGGCCGAATAGTTATTCGAACAATTATCGAACTATTTGTTAATTATTTGATTCATTTCCAGCCCTAGATGCCATAGAATTCAAGCACTTGATATATCAATTAATGCAGTTTGGTGTCAGAAAGATGCATTTCTGTTTTCAGATAGAACAATAAATGCACGATATAGTACACAGCTCATATGAAGGTGTAAATAAACAGCTGCCAACAACATACATATAGCTGTCAAGAAAGGCCATGCACACCCATAGCAAACAAACTTTACTAGGAAATACACTACAAATATCAACTATCACTTGCACCTCCAATAGAGAAATATGGGGATTTACCGGTAGCGAGATACTCAGGAGCAGCATATCCATATGTCCCCATGACCCTAGTAGAAACATGACTTTTATCCCCGGTAGGACCATCTTTTGCCAATCCAAAATCAGAAAGTTTTGCATTGTAATTCTGTAAAAATTTGAAAGGTAAGACATCCACATAAATAGAAAAATGTGGTAAAATCAAACATTTTACTCTGACTTACAGAATCAAGAAGGACATTAGAGGCCTTAAAATCACGATATATAACTTTTGTCTCGGCACTATGAAGAAATGCAAGTCCTTTTGCAGCTCCGAGTGCAACTTTCATACGGAGATTCCAAGAAAGAGGTTGAAAATACGAACCCCCTGCGCAAATAAAAGTTTGAATTAAAACTAACCAAAATATGTAAGCCAAAAAATTTGTCCAAAACCGTATAAGCTTACTCCTGAAAAGATGATTCTCTAAGCTTCCCCGAGGCATAAACTCATAAACAAGCAAACGGTGTTCATCCTCTAAGCAATACCCAATCAACTTCACAAGATTGGGATGATACAGCTGACCCAAGTAATTTACTTCAGCCTGTAAATTCATGTGATAGACTTCAGATTAACAAAAAAAAAAGCTTCCATTTTTAACATAAATTCAGCAATTAGAATCTGGGTGCTTCATGACGAAAATTCGACACTCACCAGCCATTCTCTGTGACCTTGGTAACCTTCTTGATTGAGCCTCTTCACAGCAATGACAATTCCAGTGCCGGGTTTTGTTGCTGTGAGAGTGTGTTCATCGATCCACCCTTTAAAGACAGAACCAAAACCTCCTTCACCCAAAACACTGTCGGGTCGGAAATTTCTCGTAGCGCTCTTGAGTTCGTTGAAAGTGAAGCTCTTCACATTGGAAGATTGTAGGATCTCACCCTCGCTCCGAGGAGTAGGAGGAATAGAAGAGGAAGAAACCCTACTGCTAGAACCACTCAGTCCCTTTCCATTGCCATTACTTCTAGACTTTACACCTACATACATACCCAAAAAAATGAAACTTTTCTGCGTGCTATGTGACTAATCAAAGGCATTCTAGGTAAAAAGGACCAAAATCATTTTTTTAAAAGGCAGATAATTATCAGTTTTTAACTATAATTATCACAAGAATTGAACTAAAAACATCAACAAGCAGATTCCAGTAGCAATCAAATTGACAATGTAAACTTTACAAGAGATGACAAATTAGGTAATTCCCTGATTCCAAATTAGAAAACCCATTATTAGACATAAACCCTAATAAGAAACAATACTACTTCCAGCAAGTCTAATCCAAATTGAAAGATCTAAAGCCTCCAAAAAAGTAGAGACAATCACTGAGCTTTTAAGTCTGCAACATCAAAGCTTTACAAGAGATTCCTCTTGTAAAAAGCACAGAAATCAAAAAGCAGAACAAATTAAAGCATCAAGATCCCATCTTTATCCACCTCTTAACCTCTAATTCAAACCTAAACAGCTAAAAATCATAGTACCTGAAGTTGCAAAGCTGTGAGAGAGGCTCAACGCCTTAATCTTCACACCCCAACAATTCCCCATCCAAAAAGCAACCAATTTCTCACAGATTCACCTCCTCTCTCTCAACGACCCTCTTAAAAACCCTAGGTTTCCAAATCGAGATCCAGCGAATCTAGCCCCAAAGCGAATCCAGCGAATCTAGCCCCCTATCTTTCAACTGATAGCGAGATAAAGGTGAGAACTTTGAAGACCTGGTGAGGGTTTAGGTTAGAGCAGCGGAGCAAGTTGACCCTTGCCCCCCCGCTTTTTTCGCTCCTATCTGCAACTTGAGCTTGAGCAGCATTAATGGCGAGCTACGGTGCAATTTCCCGCTACGTTTTGGCCTTTTCCGTAATTTCACCTGCTTTATTTATTTACTATCTGTGGGTTTTGGGTTCATTTCGTAGAAGTCGGACTGTTGATTTTGGACCGTTGGATTTTGATCGGATGGACGGGGTTGAGAGACTACGTACAGGGCTAAACGCTGTCGTGGGGCCCTTTTTAGCTTACCGTCCAAGGACTGAGAATGAATAAGAAAATTTGGACACTAATTCTCATTCTTTCATACTAAGTATCTTCTTTTGCATAACTAATCTATCAAAAGTTATTTGTAATATTATTATATGGAACTTTATCTAATGGTTGCAAAAGGTTATATACCTCTATTGCCTCTCAGATAGAAAAAAAAATCAATCTAATTTTATTCTTTAACTAAAACATCATACATTTGTTAGAAACTATGAGTGTTTGATAATTTATTAGAATCTTGAAGGAAAAAAAATTATGAATTAGAATTATTTTAGAGCGAATGTCGTTATGCATGTTCCTCAATTTGCTTGTACTTATATGGCATAAGCCTATTGACATGAGACCTAAATCCTATTTTCCGCTATTAACATCATTTCCTATTGAATGGAGGCGCTACAAGCATACCCTCAGGCACACCTCCGACAACAACACATAGTGCAGAGGGCCCCACTTGAGATTTTAAAAAAATCAAAAAAAAGTTCAAGTGGGGCTTCTGCACTGTAGCTAGAGGAGGGGTGTGGCCGGAGGTGTGCCCGAGGGTGTGCATGTATCATTTTTCCCTATTAAATAAGGTTATCAGTACTTCAATAAAAATAAAGATGGTGTCCCTGAATAAGGTTGAAATTAAAATATTGTGAAGGGTGTATGTGCATAAACTTTGCTTGGACATGACGTGATGTCTTGTGTCATGCATGTGTAAATGCGATGCAGCGCGCACCGGTAAGCAAAGCTTCGTGGACAGCACATGCGCGTACTAACGGATACCAAATCTAGACCCGTTAATCCGATAAATAATGACAGGGACACACCTTCTACCACACTCCTAACCACACCACCTCTCTTGCTACAGTACACTAAGCCAACATGAGATTTTAATTTTTAAAATTTCATGTGAGCCTCATATACTGTAGCAAGAGAGGGGGTGTGGTTAAAAGTTTGATAAACCCTGTATCTCTCTAACCCGATAAGAATTCGGAGGTCGGTATCGGACGCAGAGCAGTCAGCCAGTCACGGGAACTCAGAAATAAGTCAAACTAAAGAAACGAACTAATCAAACTGGTTGACGCAACGCAGGCTGAGGACAATGAGACAGATGACAGTGGGTCAGACTTCCACGTCACGGGGAGTCCGATTAAATACCTAATTACGTATCTTAATTAAGGTAATCCATATAATTCGACATTGATACTATATAATTCATTTATTATTATTATTCACCACGTTATTTTGCTATGCTGTTGTCAGTTTAAAAAAAAATTAATTAACACCCGACTTGAAAATCTAACCAAATTAACTAGTTTGCCTGTAATCAATCGCAAATTTAAAACAGACACTAGACACGGCTATGAAGGGGTCAAATAAACATTCAGCAAATCTTGAGTTTTGAATATTTCAATGTGGGAACTAAACAATTTTACAACTATATATATAAAATTGTTTTACAACTATATATATAAAATTGTTTTGTTTTGGTTTTAGGGTAGTGTGAAAGCTGAATGAGCTAATCAAGGTGGGGATGGTGGGGGGCAGAAAAATGTTATTGAAGAATATAAAGTTTAAAGTTATGAAAAAGGGATATGATTGTGTTTCTTCAAATCTCGTGAGTCCTTATTAGTGATAAGGTTGGACTTTTGCCTTCAAAAAGCGGAGTTAAAAGCTTGGTGTTTTGTTGTTAGGCGAAAGCAGACAATTAACCCCCCTTCACTGAACAAACCCCACCACACAAAAAAAAGTGGGAGGACACCAGCACACACAAAAAAAAATCAGTAAGGGGGGAAAGCTGTCAAAAATGTCAACGTTTTGACAGCTTTCCCCTAAAATCGCTTCTTATAAAGGCGATTAAGAGGCGATTTTGGGAGAAAACTGTCAAAAAGCTGATATTTTTGACAGCTTTTTTCCCTTTTACCCATCCAAAAACAGAAACCAAACGGGCCTAGTGGAATGAGTGCAAATTTTACATCAACGTAACATAAGAAAACACTAACAACCAGAACTTGGGATATCAAAAAAGAATGCAAAAAAAAATAAAAACCAGTTGCAGCCATTTACACATGAGATCCATGTCATCCATTGACTCCGGCAGAGAATTTACGGCATAAAAGCCTTAGGCGTGGGTCACCACCTTGTATATCTTTTGTTTGAAATTAAAAATAAATTCATGTGACAACTCAGTAAGTAGGTACTAGACTCCTAGTAACAATATTATAATTTCTAAAGTGACTGATGAAAGGAGAACATATCTTGCGCGTAACCAGAACATTGATTAAATAATCCAAACATTAGCTATTTCTTAATTGAGTGTCAAAATACATGGTTGCACAGGAGGTTTTTGAGTAAATTGGTTAACTTGCAAAAGAAACCAACCAGGATTAAATAGTATCTCGTTTCCAAGTATTTCTTAACCAAAATTTAATCACGGTAATGTAAAATTCATTACGATCCATGTAAATTATTAGGAATGTCAGAGAGAATATTTACTTTCATGTGGCTTCATAGCTGGGGCTTAGGGCCTCGGCTCAAAACGACAGCGATCGATCCATGTCTATAGCAACATTTATGCCCTATCTCTAATTATTAGGTATTTCAATACTTATGCCATTCACCTGGATCTGAGCTGTGAAACGAGGGCCCTCGAAAACCGGTGTTTACTTGGTTGAAACCAAGCCAAGAATCCTCAATTAACAAATTCATAGAAGCTTTCTTCTCAAGAGGAATTTCCTTGTGGTCATAGCTATCTGTTTGGGTGTTGCTACAGGAACCCCAAAATAGGGGACCCCTCAGGGGGACAGGTGAGGTGTCAGCCCCTGGGGGCTTGATGCACTGTTCATGAACAGTGCATCAAGCCATCTTTGTGGTATGAGTATTCCAATCAAATCTATCAATACTAATCACATCACCCTCTCAAGGGTTGGGGTATTACAAACTCCCCCACTTAAACTCACAACGTCCTCGTTGTGCCAAATCATATCATCCAAGACCGTACCATCCGTGTGAGATTCTAGAGGTGGCTCCTACAGCCTTAAGAGGTGGCTCCCGCCCTCTTGACGTAGCACTTTACGCCGCATAGCACTTAGCTCTCACAATTCCGGTTGGCTTGTCTCTGATACCATTTGTAACGTCCCGCCCCGGAATCCCGGAGTTGGTACGTTATTAGATCTGATGGATTGGCCTCACAAACCACCACATGTCTTTTCAGCATGTTTTGTCCTCACTCACGTGCTCCCTGGAAAACTTCCCAGGGGGTCACCCATCCTAGAATTTCTCCAGGCTAAGCACGCTTAACTTTGGAGTTTCTAAGAATTGGGTTTCTGAAAAGAAGATGCATCTTGATGGTATGAGTATTCCAATCAAATCTATCAATACTAATCACATCAACCTCTCAAGGGTTGGGGTATTACATGAAGAGTTTTCCATCTGTTTATTTACTTTACACTATTAACATAACACTGAAAGTTACTTAAAACTTATTTTGAGGGAGAGAGATCATCCACGTTAAAAGACATAGGTATGACCTCTGAGCCACAGTAGACCAACAACCGATTCTAAATTGTCAATTGCAATCCAACCACAACCTCGCAAATTTTTTTTGCAACTCCGAGCTTGACGGCTGGTTTCATTTCCTTTCACAAAAAAGTCAGTTGTAAGTAGTTGAGAATCCACATTCATTTACTATGCCAACCACTATTATCCATTATTAATTAAAGCGTGCATGCGACGGCCTCAAATCTTGTTTTCTGGTTACAAGTCCAATTTCAAGTCTTTTTCCAGCATCAAATATTAAATACCCACTCTGACTTCAGCTCTCCACCACACAAATAATACAAGCCTCCAGAGCAGCAAGCACAGCGATTAAAGTCAGACAGCTTCTCATAAATGACCAAATATTCTCCTACCATAAGTCAACTCCCATGAGCAAATCCAAACTGTCTTTGACCGCCCCCCCAAAGTCCACTCCTCATTGATTGTGGTTCTCACTGCTACTGCTGCTAACTTATAGCGGGTCTTCTGTTGTTTAATGATTTATTATTCGCCCAAGAAATACTTGGTCAAAACTTGTGCATGGCAATTGTTATCTCACAAACAAACATCTTTACATACTTACAAAGGTATTTATATAAACATACACAAAGAGCTTGGGAGTTCATAGAGGGAAGCCTAAGACTGTTTCAGACATGACAAGGTCCATGAGTTCTGATTGTATGTAGACACACAAAGAAGCTAGACAGTAAGATTTTTCAGTAGATAGGTCACCTCTTTAAGATATGGAAGATGCATTGACCTGATAAAAGATTTGAAGTTCTAGGCAGCAGACATCTTGACTGTAGCAGATTTGATGATGTCCAGAAATTCTGGCTTCATTGACACAGAAATAAAGTTACACAAGCACAGGTTGTAGATAAGGTGCATGTACAGTGTAACCTGATAATATGAATTCAATCTAGATAATAACAATAACAAGGTTTATCCCAAAATTTTCGGTTCTGCTAAGGACTATCTCTGAGTTTTATTAGGTCCAGTTGTCCCTTCTCCATTACTATAATTTCATCGCTTCTCGCGAGAGGTGTACTTAGTAACCTTGTTACATATTTAGACCATGTTAAACAATTCACTTGAATTTATGTCAATAGGAGCGACATCTAACTTTCTGCGAATGTGCTCAGTTCTTATTGTATCTCTCGGTGCGTACCTACCAGTTCGTTGTACCATTCTCGTTTCTACTGGACTCGTTTTCTGCATATAAGTTATTTCTTAATTGACATATCGGCGGTCTTATTAACAGCTGAATCTTGATAAAATACTACTTACTACAGCGCTCAGATTAACCGTTGAAGAAAATGTACTTGGGGATTGCCTATCAGAGTCCTTGCCTCTTACGTGCAAACAATGGATCTAACTTGATTTACTTGTAGGTTTTATCATCAGACCTTTATCCTAAACCTGGCTAAGCAAAAGTTAAATGAGGGTTGTTTTTCAGCTTGACGCACTCCTGATCGATTAAGAAGATGAATGTTCGTGATAACTAAATTGACATGATGAAAGCTATTGCTATCACTGCAGATTTGCCGCGCGTTTGTGAGCAAATAAGCTGTTTACAGAATCATAACTATCTATTTCTGCCATGTCACTTTTCTCACAGTCAAAAGATAACAAAGCAGAAAATTTGACCTTTAAAGAAGCTCCACCGACGAGGAATCCATCAATATCAGGCTCTGCTGCCAGTTCTTTGCAGTTTGATCCATTTACTGATCCTGCATTAATCATTACTAGCAGTGGTTATCCAATATTTTCATACAAGAATAGCACTGACAACTTCCAGATACTATATTTACTGATCCTGCATTAATCATTACTAGCAGTGGTTATCCAATATTTTCATACAAGAATAACACTGACAACTTCCAGATACTATCACATTTATATGTCTGGGATAAGCTTTGAAAATCAACAAAAATACGCATCTTACTCTCTTTCATCGTGTAATATCAACTTAGCAAATGGGGTATTTAAATGGTTCAATACTGTAGTATGATGCTTGCCCAACTGAGGAACATTTACCTCCATAAATGATCCGAGTTGACGCAGCTACTTCAGCGCTCACATTCGTTTGAAGCAGCTTCCTTAGGCCAGCATGCACCTGAAAGGGGGAAACAGAAGAAGAGCTAATGAAATAAAAATGAAAAGTATCTTTGAGAGCATTCTGATATACTGCAAGTTACAAGCCTGGCTCAGCTTCTGAGCAAGATCAAATTGATTAATTGATAAGCAGATATAACATATCAGGTGTATGTAAACTCGAATGCCATATAAACTTATGGCAAGAAACAATGACATAACGCATTGAAACTTGAACAGATCATTATATCTGCACAATGAACAATTTTCCATACAAACTAGGAGACAAAACTCTAGCTGTTAATATTTGTAGCCATGAATATGAATACCTGCAAACATAAGACTTATTTAATGCATAAGCTACCTTAAATTACCAAACACTATCACATTTCTCCTCTGATGGGTAATTAAGCTACTACATACCATATTCTGGGGGAGAATACAGGAATGTACTGTTGCCTTCCACATGATTTAGATTTTAGACATTTTGTTTTAATGGATTTATTTTTTAGAAAGATTGAACTAATATGAGACAAATATTCCAAGCAAAAATGTACAAATGACATGCTATGATATTCTAAAAGAGGAAACACAATTTAGTTTTTGTAAATCTTAAATGCAGATGTATAATTTGATTGCTAGTAACTTCCTAAAATATCCTAGGCAGTCCATGCAACTCTATTCTAGATCTATGTCAAACTCTTGGATCAAAGACACCATGAAAATATTATTTCCCAACTTGTTTACTTTTATGCATACGTAAACTAAAGAGGAAGCGCCAATGCAGCAACTCTAGGCATAAAAAATCAAGTTGTATTAGTATTTTTTAAATTCTACTACTGACTATCACATAACATGCTTTGGCTACACCCTTAAACAAAGTGACCAAGGAGCATATGGCATGATGATTACAATAGTACAGACAACCTGGATACACTGCTGGCTGTAGAATACCAGGATATCAAGAAGAAATAAACAAAAGAAAGGATGAAAATTTTGAAAGAAATTTTGACCTCATCTTAGAAAATATGCAAGGATGTACATACTTCCTGAGCCTGTGCTGGGGTTGCAACTTTGCCCGTGCCAATAGCCCAAACTGGCTCATAAGCTAAGACAATATTTGTCCAATCTGATAGTTTATCTGCAAATAAGTCCCAGAATTTATATGAAATTTGATGTCTATCTGCAAATAAGTCCCAGAATTTATATGAAATTTGATGTCGATACAATCCTCTTGACGAATCTGAGCAGCAATAAGAGAAAGTAGGAAGCAAACTATATATATATATAGAGAGAGAGAGAGAGCAAGACTCCTATCTACTTAAGTTGATGTCCACCAAAGTTTGTAGCCACACATTTATTAATATAAAACACCTTTTTATATAATACAAGGATCCCTAGGCAATATGAGTGGTTAAAAACTTTGGTGGACACACTATTCCCTATCCCCTTAAGTTGACACAAGTTTTCACCTATATATATATATATAGTTTGCTTCCTACTTTCTCTTATTGCTGAGATAATGAAGAAGGAATGCAACCATTTTAAAACGAGATAATGAAATTATGCCTTATTTTCTAACAGTTACAAGTATTATCCTTCATTACAAGTCAGAAAACCCAATATACCAGCAATTGCCTTCATTTGTGTAGCGACCACCTCCATAGTTGATCCTGATTCTCGCTGCTCAAGAGTCTCACCAACACAAGCAATCACCTTCAACCCTTGAGAAATTGCATATGCAACTTTGTCTCCAACAAACTGCATATAAGATAACGCAAGCATGCCTTAAACAATAACAATAGACATTTAAATTATGAAGAAAGAAATAAGAATGTAAATAAAAATGTTAACCAACCCTTCATCAATGATGAGGGTTATAAGTATATATGTGAACATTAGAAGAAGGTTGAGGACTGGGTAAAAGGTCAGAACGTAGAGAATTATCCCATATTCACTTCATGATTATCACCAGGATGAGCATGAAAACTAACACTATGCACTTTCTCCCTTCAGGTGATGTCTACAGAAATAGGTGGCTTAAAACTAACACCACAATAACCTCGAGATTCGGGACCTTTATTCTAACTGAAGTATATGCAACCTAGATTTGGAAGCTTGAAGACGAGTTTTTTCATCAAACTTAATGCCATTTAAGGTCAATTGAGATCAAACAAACCAAATAAGTGAGAAGACAATCTACTCAATATAATTCTCAGCCAATACACAATCATATTGCATCTTCATGCGAAAATGAGATTTACGGGTTGCGGTTGCATTCTTTGGATAACTTACCTCATTTGATTCCCCTAATAGAAGCCTTCTTTCAGAGTGACCCAAAATGACCCAAGGAATTCCAAGATTAACAAGCATCTCTGCACTGCATGAAAAGCAACAAAGTCAGCATTTTAACTAACTTAAAAAAATAGTTAACACTCTCAAGTTAGGCATTAGTCTCATCACAACTGTGATTGCTGACATTATCTTTTTCAATCACTGCAGAAATTGTATATATTTTTCAACGCAACTCATTAAAGTAATTCCATTTACTGGAAGAACAAAATCTAAAGCTATGGAGAAACACTGCATTAGAAGCTCAATTGTAGTACGCAATTACAATATGGTTTTTCAAATTCTAAACTGAATCTAAAACGACTAAAGATGGATAGCTTACCTAATTTCTCCAGTGAAGGCTCCACCTCTCCTTACCCAACAATTTTGTGCAGCAACGGAGAAATCAGATCGTAGCAGACTTTTCACCAATGGAAGAAACAAAAATGGAGGGCTTACTACCACCTCTACAAGAAAAACCAATTGCCATAGTGTTAGTAATGCAATAATAGTCAATCCATACGACATGCTATTATCCAGTAACTATATGCAGTTGGCAATGCAGAACTTCTATCACATTTAGCAACTATATGCAGTTAGAAATGCAGAACTTCTATCACATTTAACAACAGAATGAAAAAAAATGCCACCTAAATGAAATGCCTTTATTCAAAATAGGAAATATGTTTGTGTAGGCAGTAGGCAGTTACTGGGCTGACCACTTTAAAGCCTACAAAATAAACAGAACATCAAATATTTAAAAAATTTATAGCCAACCACTTAAATTATCAAAGAAAAACCACAATGTTACAAAAAATACTTATGAACTAGAACTAGCGTTGAGCTATGTTACTATAATATACAAAATGTGGATAACATCAATCCAAATTTAAAAATTGGACCCCAAAAGTAAAAATTTGTACCGTTAGATACAATGTACTAAAATTTTGAAGGATTTCAACATTTTTACCCATGAATCATATATTGTCAAAATCAATATCTCAGAATTTTCATGAAGAAATAGGTTTACATCAAGGGTCAACCTTAAGCCGTTAGCTATCTTTTTGTATTAGTAATAGATTAACTTACTAGACATAATCAGGATGAAGTCCCATGATGCATGTTATTTGCTAATGATATCATATTAGTTGATGGGACTAGAAAATGTATAATTTCTAACATAGAAAGGTGGAGACAAGCTCTCAAAAACTAAAGATTTTAGAATTAGTAGAACAAAAATAGAATACATAGAATGCATTTTTAGTAAAAACTAAAAAAAAGAAAAGAGCATATAGTACATATTGATGGGTAAGAAGTAACTAAAAGTAATCACTTATGTTATTTAGGATCAATCATTCATCATGATTGTGAGCTTGAGGATGAAGTTATCCATCGAACCAAATCGAGATGTTTAAAATGGAGAAGCGCTTCGGTAGTCCTATGTGATCGTAGAATACCTATGAGACTAAAAGAAAAATTCTATAGGACGGTTATAAGACCAAAAATGCTTTAAGGATCAGAATGTTGAGCAATTAAAAGATAACATGTGCAAAAAATGAGTGTTATGATAACCTTATGGGTATACTCTAAAACATAGAATAATAAATGGGTGCATCCGTAGTAAATTAGAAATTGCTCCTATTGAGGATAAAATGAGTGAGAATCAACTAAGTGCACCGGTTAAGAAAATTAATGACATTATAGTTAGTGGGGCAAAAAGATATAAAGGTAGGCCAAAGAGAACTTGGTTGGAAGGATATGACAATGGTTAATTTAAAACATGAATCCGTAATAGAACGGAATGGAAGAGTGGGATTAATGAACTTGCTTAATATTTTTGCTCCTTCATACATGATTATTAGGTCCTCAAAATCATAGGAGTTTTTTTCCTCAGCAGTTCATATGTATTGCATCACATTCAAAGGCACGAATTTCCAATTTGGGAAGCGGAATTTTACATTTTGACTAAGAGGTTGTTTGTTTGCCTAAAAAAAAGAGGGAAATCAAATAATATGAAACCTATTTCTAAGAAAAATTGTTTTGAGATTTTTTGGTTGGCTAAAAAAAGAAGAAAATCAAAGAATGGGATATGAGTTGTCACGTTATTATTGGATGATGTAAGTGATTTTTTAACAAAATTTGTTTTGAGATTGTTTGGTTGGCTAAACAAATAAGGAAATAAATTATAAGAAATCGATTTCTTGTAATAGGTTCTTTTCTTGTGTTTGGTTCATTCATAAAAATAAGAAAATAGATAAGATGAGATGAGTTGTCATTATACTATTGGATGATGTGACCCACACTTAAAGAAATCGTTTTTCTAGCTTTTTAGAGGAAATGGGTGGAAATAAAATGTTAATGAGATGAAATGAGTTGTCAACATATTATTGGATGATGTGAGTGATTTTTAAAGATGAGAAGTGACGGAGATGAGATGAGTTGGATGATATGACTCGTTTTTTGTGTTTGGTTTATTTTTAGGGGATGTTTGGTTGGCAAAAAAATAGCCTGAAATCGGTTTCCAAGTGACGGTAGGAAATTGGAAACCATGGAGTTTTTCTATTCTGTAGTTTGGTTCAACCTCCTATTTAAGAAAAATTTTGCTGGAAATCAGCTGCTACGTCAAAAAAACGGAATACCCCATTTCCGTTTTTTAACCTTGGAAATGGGCTGGAGAAGGACAATGTTAATGTTATTTTTTGCCAGCTCAAAACCACGGGAACGACAGCAAAACAGCGGGAACAAAAAGTGAGCCTTATTATCACCGCCTTACTCTCTCTCTCTCTCTCTCATTTCCTCTTCTTCTTCATTTTCTTTCTGCCCCTCTCGTGCCATCCTTCCACCGCTTCTCTCCGCCAAAAAAAAAAATTGGGGGAAAATATGCTAGTCGATCCCTCCGTCAATCCTACCTGATACTGATCTCTCGTCTTTTGTCTATCTTCTCTTGCTACTTCAATAGAAACTCAAGCTTTGTTTGGACTAAATAATTGGCTATTTCATCGGTAAAGAATCTTCAAATCTGTGTTATAAGTTCGGTGATCTTCTATTTGGGTTATTTTAGAGGTTGATTCGTTGCTTTGCCTTCTTGATTGCTTAATCTCTCTAAGATCTAACTGATTTGGGGCTAATCCTTCTAGAAACCTAACCGAGCTACTTCAAAAAACCGCTGAAGGTAAATTTCTTAACAATTTTGTTTTTTTCTTATTATTATCTTTATTTTTTTCATAGTAAGTTTTTACATTCACATGCAAAAAATACCTCTTTTTAATAACCGCAATAGTTTTTTGTATTAAAAATCTTTTTCTGTTTTAAATTCCAAAGTGGACCAAGTGATCATGCATTATTCTGTTTAATAAGTTTTAATTATTCTGAAATTCATATAAAAATTATTGCTTTTAATGTATTAGAATGTAGCAATATTCCTTTCTCAAGTATAATTTGCTTCCAACCCAAAACTGCAGCTTTTCCTGATGCTGTTTGAGTACATATTTATACATTTCATCGGCAACAACTAATTGGGGGTTCTAAGAATGATTTTCGTTATGTATTCCTGTTAATTTTAGGATTTTGGTCGTTTTTCAATTTAAATTGGTTGTTTGTTTGTTGACATGTATGAGATGCAGGTAAGAAACTATTTATAGGGAAATATTGGTTCTAGTGAGCGCGATAGATGTAGATGTTTGTAGTGCTGAAAGAGACATGTTTATATTCACTATAAACCAGATGTCAGTATGTCACCTTTTATTTTTGTCATTTATAGCGAGTTATTTATTTGTTTTCATGGTTAAGATTTCATCTACGAGGAAGAATTTACAAATCTATAGTAACATTTAAAGCATGTTGAAGTCGATCATGTCATAGGTTACCACCGAAAATGACACCATATTTATACATAGGGGTAGCTTGTGACCGTGATAATGCATGGGTTATGCAAATAGTATGAGGGATTTCAATATAGATACAGGATGTGTGATCTCCAATGTCTGTGTCGTCATAACTTGCGAGAATGCATGGGCTGTGGAAGAATGATGTGTTATCCGTTAGTGATAACTTATTAGTTTTGAGTAGTTCATAAATTATATGATTTATTAATTTTCCTATATATGCTAAGTATTATATATACTAGTTCCGTGTGTACTCCTCTTTCGTTATATAGAATAAACTTGTTATATCCTAAGTATGTGCAGACCATGGGCTCACTATCTCATCTTCGACACAAACCTGTTCAAAACATCGACGTACACTGCCTTATGCTCTTCAAAATCTTGATTTTATGACACTGCTTCAAATCTTCTATTTTGACTATGATTATAGTGCTCTAATCTTTATGTTAAATCCTCTATTTAGGAAGAAAATGATTATTGTGATCTCGTTGCTTATATAGTGCTCTAATCTTTATGTTAAATCCTCTATTTAGGAAGAAAATGATTATTGTGATCTCGTTGCTTATTGGTTCCAGCTATGAATTTGGTTCAACCTCTATTTAGGAAGAAAATGATTATTGTGATCTCGTTGCTTATTGGTTCCAGCTATGAATTTGGTTCAAGCCATGAATATAAAGTTAGCTTTTTATATAAGATTACTTAGTAATTGTTTTGATTTTATGGCAAAAACTTGTTTCTCAATGTTGCAGTTTAATCTTCAGACCATATAGTACATTATAAATATTTGTCACATGTGTACTACTTTATTTTTCATTCAAATTGATAATTGATTTAATGTGGGTATTGTAGATGGATGGTGAATGTGTTGATGAAGAAATGATAGTGAGCATTGTCTCTGGGGCTACACTATCTATCATATTGATCTTAGTTACATTCATGCGTAGAGTGCAAGCTAGACGTAGAAGAATACGTAACGGTCCAACCATTGAAAAATTAATTAAAAAAACAATGAGGCTTGACCACATGCACTACATAGAGCATGGATATTTAGATAGCTGTCAAACCTATGTCAGAATGCGGAGTGGGGCTTTCCACAATCTTGCGAGAATTATGAGGTCAAATGAACTTTTAAAAGATTCCCGGCATGTTACGGTAGAGGAACAACTTGCAATGACATTGAATATTTTGGGTCACAAAACTAAAAATCGTATCATAAGGTCACATTTTATTAGATCCGAGGAGACTGTAAGTAGATATTTTAACAAAGTGCTTGAAGCAATTTATCACATACGTGGACGGTATATGAGACAAGCGCCTCATGAAGTACCGAAGGAGATCCTTAACAACCATAGATATTACCCTTACTTTAAGGTATATCATTTATAGTTTATGAATAAGTTGATGCTGATTTAACTCTATATTTAAAATGCTTTCATATTTATTTGACGATATACTCTCTAGGATTGCATTGGTATGATCGATGGGACCCATATTGATGCTATGCTTCCGGCTAGACTTGTTGCACGTTTTCGTGGTCGTAAAGAAGACACACAAAATATTCTGGCAACTTGTACCCCTAATAA